CAGTTCCTCCTTCACCTCCTCTTCATTTCTGTGCCTTGTCTTTCTTGCCTGTATCCAGATCTGGTTCCAGAACCAGCGAGCAAAGTGGCGGAAACATGAAAAATTTGGCAATTTTGGTGGTCTTCAGCATCTGACAGAAGTTGATTTCATGCCTGCTCCCAAGTCAGATATCACAGTGAGTATTGGAGGTTATGTATAAAGCCTATGAGGGAGAGAGAGCTATCCTTCACCAGGTCACCTCTTCATGTGGGACTATCCCATAGAAGAAGGATTGGAAAATATAAAAATGGCAATATAAGGAAGCGAAATCCCAGCAAATATGGTCAGGTAACACATTTCTTCATTAAATGAAACCTGTTTTGTAAATATGCCATGAGGCATCTATTGCAGGATGATCCTTCCCTATTTACTTCCCTGTAAATCATACTTTGATTCAAAATATCTTTACCATCAGAAATTTCCTGAACAGGAAGAAATATGACATTGGCAGCCACAAAACCACGTTTCTTTGTAAAGAAACTTTTCTTTACAAAGTCCAGTCTTTTTAGGCTGACCAGTGCTTTTTGGCCATGACCCATGTCCTTGCCAAGTCCAGGACAGTTAATATTATTTAGGCTGGCACACAAACTCTTTACCTGTCAGGAGTTTTTCCATGGCTAACACAAAGGGTATTTTGCCTTGCTCCCTGGGTGACAGCACACCACTGGGTTTTAGGGAACCTATTCTTCTAAACTTTTCTTCTTAATTACTGAGCACCAGGGAAACAAATAAGTTTGATTGTAAATTGTATCCAACTAAAAGTCTGTATTGATTCACCTGAGACTGCATTTTTATTCTTGAAAGGCTCCTAGCTTGATGCCAAGAAAGCTCGCTGCTGCCATCCCTGCTGTGGGATACTACTCACCGCTGCAAGGGCAGCTGACAACTGCATGGCTTCCCAACACGCTCTCCTTCATCCCCCACCACTTGGAGTTGCTGCCCTTCCCAAAACCGTACTTGGTCTTCAATGTCCTTCCCCCTTACGGCACGCCGCTACCCCACAAGTTGGAAAGGAGCAGTATCTGCGCCAGCTCCACATAGAGGAGCATACAGGGGAGTGGGGGACTTTGGGGGCATGCTTTTCTCATCCATCACCATTTTGAGGGTGTGTGGTTCCTCTCCTCGAAGACTGCCAAGGACAATGGGTGGCCTGTGGTGCAAGGTCAGCTTGCTGCAGGAGTGCCACCGCAGCCTAGCAAACGTGGGCGAGAGCCACCATGGACCAGGAAGGAGCTCCCCGTCTGCCTGAGGAGCAGCATGCTCTGTAGAAACCCAACCGCTCAACTGAGAGCTTCTCCCTGCAGGGACAGTGCACCGAGCAGCCCTGCAAAAGGACTGGGGTTTTACTCAGCCCTGAGACAATGCTGGATGACTCTATTGTGGTGGCGGCTTGGGGCAGGCAAGATGCCTGTGATGAGGTGTGCATGGCCCCGGGATCCAGCCAGAAGGGCTTTCCTCTGCAGGTTTAGCTCACTTTCCTCATGCATTCTGGTCCTCATGCACTGAGGGGTGCAAAGAACATGTATAGGTCAAAAATCAAACTTTCAAGATACTTTTTTTTCCTGAGTAGTCAATGAAAGAGGGGGGTGGGTTTGATTTGCTGTCTGTGGTTTTGACTTGAATAAAGGAGCACAAACACAATTTGAGCTGAAACATGACAGTCTGAGAGGGGTAGCAGTGCTCAGCTCTGGATTTGGTACCGTGAGTCTCTGGGGGCAAGAGAATTCTTCAGCTGGTTAATTAAAATGCTTATGAGGAAGCCTCTCATTTTTTGACCTGAATTAAGAAAGCTCCAAAACTCCATCAGAAACAATAACGAAAAGAGACAGCCTGAGTTTAATCTGCTCGACATAATAGGATGGTATGACCCCACAGTTTGGTTTAATTGTAGATCAATAATGAGATCAGCCTGCCCACTTACAAAATGTCTGTATGCCTTATTATTTACATAATATTAATCTCCTTCCAACATATGGTGCTTTTTTCCCCCTGCTTATTCAGGGTCCAATCCTGCTTCCACTAATTTCTCCACTGACTTTCACAGGAAGCACTGTTGGAAAGCACTCTTTAAAGGGTTGCACCATCCTCTGTCTTGCAGCCACAGCACATATTGCACACTGACAGGGGACGCTACTGAGCAGAGCCATTAAAATGTGGTCTCCCTCCCAGACATATCACTTGTAAGGGTGGCCATTCATGACAGAGTCCAAAAGCAAAGCAAATTGTGACCCAAAGGCTTGCTGGGGAGGCTGTCCTGTGCACATGGGAGTGCAGGTAGGTTAATGACTCTGAATAGGTTGCTTATGAAATCTCTTTGACCAGACTGCAACTGCTAGGTCTTCAGCCTTCTTCTAGCTGCTAATTGTTAGTTACATAGTGGATCACAGTGAGTCAATAGCTTTCTTGTTGTTTGGCTGGTACCAGCTCTCCGTGTACTTCAGGTTTGGGACACCTGCAAGCTAGGGAGTAGCTTGTTGCAGGGGAAAAGATAAATCCTACCTTATATGGGTTTCATTTCTCCAGTCCTCAACTATTCAGCAGAAGTCAGATATATTGTGTCCTTCCTCTTATAGGTCTTACACAAGACCTTTTTCCCACACCTGCTTGGATCTTTACATCCTCTTCATCCCTGTCATCTGTCATCTGAAGGACAGTCCGGTCAGATACAGGACTAAACTTCAGCTCCAACAAAGAGGTTTAAGCACCTAACTGATTAAAATCAACAGGAATTAGCTATGGTGTTCACCTCATGCAACTTTAGGGGACTGCATTGTAGCCACACACACCTGAATTAAGCACCCTGGGCTCACTTTAAAGAAGAAAAAGTGATCACACTTAGGTTTCTAGGCTAGGTGAAGTCCACACATTAGTGCATTTTCCAGGGTGTGAATTATCCCTGTGCAATTATTAGCTTGAATATAGACACTGGCACTGTAATCATCTAAAGCTAAGGGGGGCATGACTTTTTGCACAAGTAGACCAGGGCTGCAAGCCAACACCTGCATTAGGACAGCTTATCCTGCAGGAATATTTGTCCAGCATAGAGGAGGATTCTGGGATGATCATAATATGACAATTTTTCTTGGTCAGGATATGGAGTATTTGAATTTCACCAGTCTTTTAATAGAAACCAAGCAGCTTGCCAGGATTATTGCTTACTTTCTGTCCACTCCACATCTCTGTCTGATAACCCCATTGCCAGGGTTCCTACACATCATGATGCCTGCTCAGAATCTGGAAGCTCTGCTTCATGCTTCTGAGGTCCTCTAGAAGCCCCGTTTTGGACCAGAGAGGTGAGAAGCAGAGCTTCTGAGCAGACTTCATCAACTTCTTCTTGGAAAAATCAAAGCCTTAGAATTCCTTTTTTGCTAGCAGGTTCAATACTTGGAGGGATTGTTTTGCTGTAGAACAATTTTGCCTGGGCTTTCTTTTTTTATTTATGAAGTTTCAGAATTTCCAACTGAACAGCAAATGTAGATTTCAGAATATGTATAGCATCTCCATCCATATGCAGCTGGTCAAATCCCAGAGAGACTTAATAATATTATCTTGTTTTTCACCAATTTCCTAATTTTATTCTGAGGTGCAGCCAGATCACTTAGCACAGAGTGGGACAGTTTCTGGCACTAGCATCTTGTTAAACCCCAACACCTCCTAGTCTTCCAGTTCTCATCCCATCTCATCTAATAGTGGCATCCTTCCTTTCCTCTGCACCCCCTACCTATCTTCAAAGCAAGAAGTAAGAACATCCACTTGTTTCATGGCTGTGCTGGTCCTCAGGATGCTATTTTTGCATTGTTTTGTACTCTGATGTTTCCAGAAAATGCCAGGTTGGGCACACCAGTCTTTGGGACATCCTAAACTCCACAGTCATTCAGACATATAGGATTGCTTTGGGCATAAATGTATCTTAAACCTGCCAAAGGGCTGCTAGAAGAACAAGTCATCCAAGGAAGCTGACCACACACTAGCAAGACCTGCGTATAGATATGCAGTCATAGTTTCATCCTAACTTCAGAGTAATAGTCTGTAGTAATAGCGTTCCCTGAGCAAGTGGCTGGGAAAAAAAAGAATCAGGTTTCTCACTGCCGGTGTATGGCTCCGGCTGTGCTGCCTTGGTGTGCACCAGTCCCTCTGATCTCCCAGCACACGTCCTACGCTTGTTCCAACCAGAAACACCCTGGCCACCTCTCAGCAGACTCATCCCACCTCTCAAACAAAAATGTGTGGTTGTCATCTCTATCCAAAGGGCCTGGCAGAGAGCTCGGGCTCAAATCCAGCCATGATAACATTTTGTTCCCTTGGCGGATCTGAGTCACTCCTCCAAGGCAGCGGCAATGAGAGGCGACAGCACGGAGCTGCGCGCTCCCCGTCAGTGGACGTCCTGGAAGGCTGTTGCTGCAGTCTGCTGGATCAGGTCACATTAGCCTAATACCATCTCAGAAACGAGTGACGGGAGAGCCTAGTCCCTGAGAAAAATGAAGGGCCATTATTTATGGTAGATGCTTAGAGGTTTTGCCTCACCTGATTTCAAGTGACTCAAACATCAGGACTTAGAGACCCCTCAGAGGAGACCCCTCTGCAGTCTCACAGCTCTCCATGACACTCTGCTTACATTTTCCATATGACAGTTTCATCCTTTAATCCCCCCCAAGACCCCCGGTAACCTGAACAATTCCTCTCTATGGCTTATGGTCCTGATTTTCATTTTCACACTGAGTTTTCTCAATGAGCCAGCCCACCGATTTCAGGGAAATCAGTTCTCTTTGGCACAAGGAAGACGTGGTCCTGCTGCTGCTGTTTACACACCAGAGACACCTCTGAGCCCTCAGACCACCCTGGGTTGTTCTTCAGCTCACCTAGCTATATCTGGTGTCCTTCCCCTGTAAATCCCTCTGCAGCATAGATATTAAGGGCAAAATTCTCAATTGGATTAAAAACAATTAGATGGACGACCAAGGTCCGAGAACCGACGTAAATTAACACCAATCAAGAGGGCGGAGACTGTGACAAAGTCCAAAGGGGGTGGTAAATACGCATTGGGGAGAAGGGGATGGGGAGCGCAGCAAGTTGGCAGGGTTGGGACCAGCTTTGCCCAGGTATCAGCTACCTGGGAGAAGGGGCCCTGTGCTGCTGAAGGGGAAGAGTGCAGGACTGCACAGGAGGAAATCTGGGCTTGAAAAGGACCCCACATTAAAAAAAAAATAAAAAAAAATGAGGCTACCTGACTCATTTAGACAATTTAACGTGGAAAACTTGCTCCATATCAGATTGAAGTGTACACCAGTGGGCAGAGCAAGAAGACACGTGTGCAATGATTGCTGTTCTGATCAGAAGCTGATTTTGGGGGTATTTTTTACTCTTAAGTGGAGTTTCCAGATTGGATGGCTTTTAACTGTACCACATTAAGAGAGCCCAGGGGCCTCTAGAAAGCTTTTCTGTTGTTGTTGCTGCTGTTGTTTTGCGGGGGTGGCTAGAAAAGAGAGCTGGGTTTGGAGGGGGTTGTTTACTTTTAAAGGTTTCTTTTTTTTTTTTTTCTTTTTTCCCTGTGTTTACCATGTGCTCTGATCACAGTCAGAAGGGGAGCGTGCAGAGAGGTTACTGCCTGCTCTGTAATTCCAAACAGGTATGCGTGAGACCTTGGGTCAAGCAAAACTGTGATTTAAAGCAGCCAAACATCTGGTTCTTCATGCTTGTTGACCAAGCTCTCCATCTATTTCCCGCTCAGTGCTCTGACCTGACTTTGCTAAGGGGCTGCAAAGTGTCCTTCCTCTGTTACCTCATGTCTGCCCTTAACCTGGACTACAGGTCTCACCTAAGCGCCTACTTCTTTTTCTTGCTCTGCTCCCTTTTTTCCCCGTGGTAGTTTGGTGTCTTTTTGTGTTATGAGAAAACGCTACCACTTCTAGCTTAGGGACCAAATGAGCCCACATCTGTTCATCTCAGAGAGATTAACCAAAAAGACTAGGTGTAAAGAAGAGCTTAATTCAAAATATAATGGTCAGTGAAATAATTCAGGCAGGCTTTTATCCAACCAGGAG